AGTTACAAAGTAAGGCCGAGTGGTACATACTACACAACTGTTCAGAAATCCCGCACTACATTGAGTAAGTATTACCTCACTATTTTATTACATAATTAAGTCACATGAAATGATAACACTAACTTAAATTTATAATTTCAGTGAGCACAAGAAAGAACTCAATGATACTGCTCGAACCGAATCATTAGACGAAATTCAAGTCAGGGAATTTCCAAAATGGTTCCGGCGTAAGGTATTACGCTATAGTCATAATTTATAATTACAAATACTCTTGCTATATAGAACTTTAGTTAATATTGTTTACTGTTGACAGATGTCTAATCTCAAGAGCGAAACATGCCAGACGCGACTGCACAATTGATTTCACTTTCGTGTGATTCAAGCTTTTCCGTTAAAAGCTACTCCGGTTGTGTGGTGAACGGAGTCAAGTTTCTGACATACAATCGGGATATTAATCAAAATTTTCAGAATAGTGGTATTTGTGTTCGCGGACCAGATAACCAGACATATTACGGAGTACTGGAAGAGATTTATGAATTATCATACATAAACGACAATTATGTTCTTCAGTTTAAATGTAAATGGTTCGACACTAGGAAGATAGAGAGTTCAACAACACAAGAATAGAATGAGCATCTTCGTCAAGGACTCCTAGTATGAGAATGAACCATTTATACTGACATCTCAAGCGGAACAGGTTTTTTATGTGGATGATTTATTCAACGGTCCGAACAGAAAAGTTGTTGAACACTTTGGACATCGACATATTTGGGATATTCCACATACGGAAGCAGATGACATTACAGTAGTTCAAGATACTGAGTCTATGAATGTTGACTTAGTCGTGGAACTCCCCGAGATTGACACTTTAATGTGGAATCGACCTGATATATCATCTGATGTTGTCCTGTCCGATGTGATGCAATTTTAACAGACAAGTCTCCCGTTGAGGATAATGACTCCGATATACTGGTAGAGGATGACAAAGAAGACTATGTTGAAGAAGACATCGATGATTCTGAGGATGATAGTGACATAAACGACAATTAAGACATTAGCAGTGACGATGAATAGAAATTATGTACTGCGATTATTGTTTTAATAATTTTAATTATTCATATAACATAAGAATTATGTAAATAAGATAATAACATTTATGATGACTTCTTAATAGGCAATCATGTATGGCCCACTCGCTACATGTGATGGCTCTTTAAGGGGAGCGCAACCCCCACCCGATTCTTATAGGTTGCCATCACACTGTGAGTATGGTATGTTAGAACATAATTATAAATTTGTTAAATTAATTACATCAGTATTATATGATCACTAAATATATTTCATTCTACAGCACCTGATGCCGCACCTTGACGACATCGTGGAGGTCGAGGGAGGGCTAAGGGTCACGAAATCACAACCAGAGTGGCAAAGGAAGGAAAGATCACCCCCATGTTTGACGAACGTGGAGGTACTTGGAAGGCAATTGGAAACTACGGCACTTGGTTCGATAGTGCCATTGGAATCCATGTCAGGGATGTCTGTGAGCCTTTCCACGATGCTTGGAAGGACGTAGACATCCAGCATAAGACAGAGATTCAGCAACGCCTGCTGGTATAAATTATTCAACTTCATTGTTTTTTAATTTAATATAAATTTCAATATAATAAAATCATTTAACATGTTTATATTGTATTACAAGAATGGTTCAACCTCGATTATGACCGCGACGATGGTATAATTAGGTTTGTGGTCGACAGGGAGGCTGCAAAATGTTATAAGGATTGGAAAAGCGACCTCCATGACTATTTCAAAGATCTTGGTGGTTTAAAAAATTAGAGTGGAGTTAGGACCCCCCCTCCCAAAAACCTCAGGAATCCAGATCACTGGGGTCATTGCTGCGATAAATTCATGTCCGATAAGTTTCATGTAATTGAATCTCTTTTATATGTTATTTTATTATATATAATAAATGTTAATTTTACTAACGCTGAATGTAATCATAAATAGAAAAAGTCAGGAATCATTAAACTTAATCGTAGCAACCAAAAGTGATTGAGTTTTCATGGTCGGCTGTCGTACTCCCAACATCGCGAGAAGAAAGTAAGTATTTGTTAATAATTTATTCAATATAAATGTTAATTTGGTAGTCGATTACACTATATTCATATACATTTAAACTACTATACAGTCTACCACAGGGACTGAGCAGCCGATGTCCGTCATTGATAACTGGGGGGACATGCATCGTCGTGGGGATACTTGGGTTAATCCCCAAGCTGAGCAGACTTTTGTAAGTATGCTCGTAATGTTTAATTATATTTTTTTATTTAAATCGCATTATGTATTTAATTATTTTTCTTATAATATTTGTAGCATCGGATGGGAGGAGAAAGACAGTCTGCTACTTCTGGGTCATCTGTAGCAGCAGCAGTTAACGAGGAGGATATTATGGAGCAGTTTCTGGGAACCCACAGAGGACACAAGATTGGAGTGGGTCGCACACTCCCACAAAAGGTTTATCGAGGGGATGCGTCGTCATTTGACTCACGCTCGACAAGATCTTCTACGACACATTCTGACCCACACGTAGAAGAATACTTACAATAGAGTTACCAGCAAAACCTCCAACTGTACGAGAGTGTCATAATGATGCAGGACTTAATCACTCAAATGCACCCCAACATGACTTTCCCAGCGGTTACTCCTCATGTGCCGTATGTCCGTCCAGGTCATCCGCCTCTGAATTCTTCTAATGATAACGACGATGATTCTAGTGTTGCTGCTAATTTAGGAGATTAGATTTTTATTAATGTAACAATTTTTATTTCCGCAGATTTCTACTATCATTACATTTTTATTTTATTTTAGTAATTACTTTTTACAATAATAATTTTTATTTCTATTTGTTATTATTTATTTCCTTTTATTTAATTCTTTTTTATTATTATAATATCATGAATTATATTTAATATTGGGTTTAAATATATAGTAATATACAACATTAATTAGTAAAATGAGAAAAAATAAATAAAAAATTAAAATATTATATGCGACGACAAATGTGGTCGCAAAAAATATAAGCCACGTTAGCTAAATCTGCATCTTTTTTGACGACTTAATTCACAAAATATCATTATAAATACTCAATGCCATGTCATCTTAGCGATGTAACCGACGAAATAATTATAGCGACTCATTTGCGACGATTGTTGTCACAAATATAATTACGACGACGGTTTGTCGTCGCAAAAATTAATTTTGCAATGAATCCATTGCGGTGACAGTTTTGTGACAACAAATGATCACTAAAACTTTATTTGCAATGACTTTAAATTTATTACAACAACTTTTTGTCGTCGCTAATAGCTATGTTTCTTGTAGTGATTGCGCTACTCGATTCCTTGGTCGTTATGTTGTGCAACAATTCGGTAAACTGAGTGTTGATGTCATTTCTTTTTTTGCTACTCTGTGAAACACGAATGTACATTATACTTGTTAACTTGATCATGCAAACCTTTAAATATATCTCTATAATCTTTATGTGCTAATTATTTCTTTCTCTTCCATCTCAGCTCAAGTTTTGTTTCCTTTCTGGGGTTCTGAAGATTCCCATCGTCATTTGAAGTGATTTGAGATAGATTGAGTTAGTTAATAAAGTGACACAGCGGAATGGATAGGATGATGTTTTACCGGCCTAATTCGAATGAAAAATTCCTGAATCCACCTAAAAAAACTTCAAAAAGGGGAAAATCTCTTAATTGGAGAGGAAACTCAACCTTAATTCAATTATCAAAATATTCAAGTCTTACTATTACAATAGGTATTATGACTATTTATAGCTCAAATACAAAAACAATAACAGAATACCAACTACGCCAAACGTCATAAAAGTAAAAGAAATGACAATTAAACTAGACATTAAGACTTTACGTAAAATTACTAAACTAATATATTGATTCTATTATTCTTCCTACATCAGTTCACCCCTTATTTGAAAAGAACTCGACCTCGAGCTCGATAGAATCACATGGAAGATGAACATGATGTAGCAAGCAGAACCACTAGTGAAAACGACCCCTCTTCGGTTTATAAGAATAATAGACCCTGATTGAGTAACCAATTTAGAATTTCAACAACCCTATGAAATCAATTTCTTCACCTTCTCCTTTAATTTTATCCACATTAAAATGATCCACAAGCTCTTCGTCAAAGTTCCCACAATTAATAATTTCAATTTTGTTCCTCTGATTGAATTTTTGGTTCACCTTGGGATTCAATTTCAAGACCAATTTGCTCGTCTAAATTTTCAATTTTGTCCACATCGAAATTATTAATAGAATCTTCTTGAATAATATCCCCACAATTAACAATTCCAACTCCCAATGTGACACAAGAAGCATCATTACTTTCTTCAAAATCAAACCATTCAGAAACAAATTTCATCATATCTACAAGAGTAGTGGATTTACCTTTGGGTAACATAGGCCTCTGGTGAGAATTAAATTTGGTACAAATGTTGGGCGTGTAAGGGGATCACTTATTGGGCTCATACACTTGAGTTGAGTCAAATAGTGGGCTGGGCTCATTGATTTTTAATGGGTCCATTTTGGCCTGGGCTTGCTCCTCGTTGCTTAGGGCTCCACGCTGCACATCCGCCATTGCTTTGGAGGTCACTTCCGCCATTGTTCTGCAAGTCGCCGTCGCACTTCCGCAGGTCGCCGCCGCCACGACAATCTCCTTCTCTGGCAACGGGCTCTTTAGGTAAACAAATTTCACCATTGGCTTTATGTCTTGCAGATCGTAAGAGAATTAGACTAGGCAGCGAATCAACGCTCAGCTCCGCTGTCGGCATCAGAATCGAGTCGCTCGCCATGGCAGCAGTGCTTCTCCGTCGGACCTGAGAAATTCGTGCGGCCAGTATCGAGCAGCTCTTCGATGTTCGAAGTCCGAAGTCGACGAAGCCACGGATCTAGCTTTCTCTCTCGATTCGAACTCTGTTGATGCGAGCCTCGCTCACAATTCCACGTATCTTGTTCATCTTCTCTGCTGCACTCGTGCGAAGGTGTGGTCCTGACGGAGTGATGACAGAGATCGTAGCGGAAAGAACCGCGAATCTCACTGAAATCATGGTGGAAAGACGCGCGAATCTCATCGATTCGTCGGATGGCACGACGGAGAGCTCGACGGATCTCATGGTTCTGGTCTGGCGGAAGTGGGTCTCGTTCAAGGCTCCGTTGATGTCGACGATCGCCGACGGTGCTACTCAAGGGCTGGTTGTATTGTTGGTTTGGGTAGTGCCTCGATGATTTTGGGTACGATGTGGTGTAATGGGGTTTGGATTTGGATATGCAGTGGCTGTGTATTGGTGGTGGTATCTCGGATGGTGGTAGTGGTGGTGGAGGCCACGGTGGTGATATGGTAATGGTGGTGGAGTGGTCACGGTGATGGTGGTTTGGTGGATGGTGGTAATGGTGGTCGTAGTAAGGATCACGGTGGTTGTTATGGCAGTGAGATGGTTGTCGAGAAGGTGAATGGAATGAGATTTTATCCACTTATAGGATAATAATGGATAATTTATAAAATATTACTTCATAATTAGTTAAATAGCAAAACGCGTTTCCTATTACACCTCGAACTGAATTGGGAAATCAGGCTCCTTTGCTTATAAAAAGAGTGTAGCATATCGGTATTTGATTAATTTGCTCAAATCAGATTAATTGGGAAATCAGGCTCCTTTGCTCAAATCAGATTAATTTTCATCGAAAGTTCCAAATTTTCAATTTTCCACATATGGATCCCGGTACGTTTATAACTCTTCCTTTGTATTTTGTAAGAGCGATTAATATCCGAGTATGATTGATATTCTTTTCTTCTCTTTTTGTGTGATCAAGTTAATGAATTAATCACTTACGGCTCTTTCGTTCAATATAAAATTCGTCTACTTTTCTCTTATAACTCTTCTTTTGTATTTTATAAGAGCGATTATTATCCCAGTATGATTGATATTCTTTTCTTCTCTTTTTGTGTGACCAAGTTAATGAATTAATCGCTGACGGCTCTTTCGTTCAATATAAAATTCGTCTACTTCTTTCCGTGGTATCCTGTAAAATCTTGATCTTTTGGAAATAAAGATTTTTTTTAATTAATTAGTTGTTGACGACTGGTTTATTGTATAGCTCATGTATGAATATTGTTGTTAATTAATAATAAAGATATAAATAAATGTCTGTTCATTATGTGTTCTTCTTTTGCTAAATATTAATTCTTCGTTAATATTATCTTATATAACGTTATTAAAAACCCCGAGTGATCATCATCATATTCTACTTATCTATATCCCAAAAATTGAGGAGGGATATTTGAAACTTGACAGAGGTATCTATGCATACATGATTTTCAGCAAATTACAAATTCTAATTTTGAAGAACATGTGTGCTTAAGTGAATACATTTATTAAATTTCAAAATTTATAATAGCATTTAGACATAGTACATTCAAATTCATATTTAAATTTGTGATTTTTTTAAACCTTTAATGCTAATCTAGTTCATTTATTTCTGTAGATTGGGCAAGGTTGCCAAAGCATTTATTGGACATAGTTTTAGAGAAATTGGAGTTATCATTAGATTATTTGCAATTTGGTGTTGTTTGTCTTCAATGGCATTCCATATTGAAGGATAGTCAAATTAAACGGAGTAAAACATTGCAATATCATCATATTCCAATGCTTCTAATTCCCAGCGAAGAACAAACATGGAGCATATACAATACACTGGACAACAAATTCTTGGGCACAAAACTTTTTGTACCATATAACAAGCGTTTTTCTGGCTCTTCACAAGGATGGTTGGTGGCTGTAAATAAGGATTGGACGGTAACGCTTTACAAACCTTATTCTATGGTTAAAGGAGGAAACAACATAGATACTAATATTCTTCTTCCATGCCTGTTTCCTCCTGATTTAGAACACTTTTTTGATCCAGATGGTATAATAGATTATGCTGAAGTCTATGATTACCATATTGAGAAAGCTTTACTTACAGCTGATCCGCTAACAAATCCAAATGAATGCATGATTGTGGTGATATTTGGCGAAATGCAGGAGTTAGCTATTTTTAGAATCGCCAAAGATACAACATGGACTAAAATTAATGGTTATGATCATGACAACAAGCAAATTATGTTAGAGATAAAAGATATCTGTCACCATAATAATCAAATTTATGCTGTAGATGTTCATGGTGTACTTAGATCTTTTGATGTTACAAATCCATGCAATCCCACTGTAAATTTGGTTGCACCTAGGAGAGCATCTGATCACTCCTCTGTCAAGAGATATCTTGTGGAGTCCTATGGAGGAAAGCTTTTACAGGTCGAAAGGCGTTTAAGTTGGCGTAACCAAGACGATGGTCGTGAGACAAAGAAGTTTAGAGTTTTCAGATTAGATTTTGGTAGAGCAAAATGGATTAAGATAAAAAGCCTTGGTGATGTATCTTTGTTTTTGGGTGATAATTCTTCAATATCTGTCTTGGCTTCTAATTTTATCGGTTGCGAACCAGATAGTATATATTTTACTCACGACATAGATGATACCGATGTACTGGGACAAAATGTCATGATTTGTGATGTGGGTAATTACCATGTCAAGAGCAGGACCTTTAAATTACACTACAATATAGATTCAAAAGTTCTTATGAAAATGAATAAACGACCTCCAATTTGGGTTGTGCCCACACTTAATACATATTAGGAATCTGTTTCTTATTCTGGTTCCCATTATTACGTATTATTAATCTATTGTTCAGTATTATTAATCATCTTTTTACAAGACTGATCGTTTCTCTCATTTACCATTATTTTATATTTGTTCACGTTTTGTTTGTCGTCCGTGTTGCCTATCTTTTTAAAATAAAATAAAATATTTATATCATGGGTCCCTAATTTTATAAGCCCGTTCACTTCGCTGAGCTGAGTTTATAATTCGAGTTGAGATGTGATTTTATGTGAGAATTTTTTACTGTAGTAAAAAAGTTAGATGTGACTGTTTCTGAGAATTTTTTACTGTAGCAAAACTTAAATTCTAAACTCGAATCGATGAAGTGAACGGAACCTATAATTTTATAAATCTTATTATTATCATAAGTATTATAATTATTTATAACTCACAAAAAAAAAAAAAACTATAACAGAATATTAATTATATTAAACGATATAATAATAAGAAAACAATAATTAAACTAGAGATTAAAAGTTTTCATAAAATTGTTAAACTAATACACTAACTTTATTATTCTTCCTCGTCATGAAGCTTTATCCAAATTTCAATGGGTAGCTTTCCCCAGTTCCACAAATACTAGCTCGTTGATTCTTGATTGTCTCCCAGTCTCAAATGCCTTAGCGAATAAAGCGATTTTGGTGGGTCCCACGTTCTTGTTTGATTTCAAAACTTTTTTCGATTTATTTGTCTTCCTTTTCTTCTTCTCTTTTTTTTTTTTTTTTTTTTCCTCACTCTTGGCAAACAAATGTTTAAACCATTTCTGGTGTCAAGTGTCAACTCTCAAATCGTTTCTTCCATCCTTGTATTATTGGAAAAAATGGTTGCTTTGAGATGATATGCTGTAGTGTAGTTAAAAATTAGAATATCCTAGAATCTTACTGTAGCAAATTGGATAAATGGAAAATTTAGGCCTTTTTCCATCTTTTGCCCCTCATATATACTTTAAGGTACCAAAACCCATGTTTGAAAAATTCATTATCTGATGCTAGTGTTGTACTTTTTATGGTAGTATGTTAGTTTCTGAGCTACTGAATTATGAACTAAAATGTATATGTTTTTTTTTGTTTGCTGCTTTTATCATATGCTATTATAATAATATGATTTAATTTAGAATCCATTTGGAATGTAGGTTCAAATCAGGTGGTTTGAATTAGAATTCAAATTTTGTGAGAAATACTGTAGCAGAAATTTTTAATTTAAACTAAAACCGAGGTGGTTCGAATCCGCGTATGGTACGAGGCCTTAAAGGTTCTGCTTCATTATTAGATAGTTTATGGAACCAATGTGCCTTCTTTGCTTCTATGGTGGATAGATTCGTTCCACGACCAGTTATGGAAGTCAAATGGGTGGACCCGTCTGGGACAAATCCCGGACCAATTGATGGTTCAGTGCTGAATGATCAGGAGAAACATGTATCTGCTGCAGTTTGGGATCGGCCGGTGGATTCTACATATATGACCTTTTAAGTTTATTTTTCTATATTTTGTCTTTGCATTTTTTTTTTTACAAAAAATTTTCTTTTGTTTTTGAATGTTTGCAACTATGCTTCGACAAATGATCCAGGCTCGTAGCATACTGAAATGTCACGAACACACTTCAAAGCTCAGCGACTAGACGCTGACTCCAAGGCAAGTCGAGTTAGTTGAGAAGGCTTGGTTTGGTTTTCTAAGATTGATTCCTGCAATTAGACTAGACAGAGCACTCATTTCTGCATTAGTTGAGAGGTGGAGGAGGGAAACAAACACTTTCCACTTTAATGTTGAAGAAATGACAATAACTCTCAAAGATGTTGCATTAATTCTTGGACTAGCTGTTGACGGGGAACCAGTAACCGGTACTATTTATACCACCAGCCATTCTGTTTGTGAAAAGTATCTTGGTGTTGCCCCAGAACCCGCGGCTACACTAATGGTGGAATGGTAAAGCTAAGTTGGTCTACACATTTCTTTTCTCGGTGTCCCGTGGATGCCCCGCCTAAGGTTATCGAGCGTTATACACGTGCCTACCTCTTATACCTTGTAGGCTGCACAATCTTCTCCGCTACCACTGGGAATAAAGTCCCTGTTATGTACCTTACATTGTTTGAGAATTTTGACCAGTGTCGGAAATATGCTTGGGGGGCTGCAGCATTAGCATTCTTGTATCGATCCTTAGGAAATGCCTCTCTGAGTTCAATCAGCGGTTGGTTCAATCAGCGGTTGGTTGAGAATGTTGTTTACTTTTATATTTTTAACTCTTATGCACAATTTTATTCAGTTTCTTAGGCTTGCATGGAAATTTCTTGTTGATATGTCGCCTTTGGTCATTTGCCCACGCTTCTGCAGTGCTGGAGTTACTTTCACTTGAATGTTGGTCGGCCAAAGGTCGATCCTAACCCATCACATGATTTTTTCCTATTCATGCTTAGATGGGAGGGGAAACTGAGTGATCCAACAGCAAACCATGATGTACTATTTTATCGTAAGGCATTGGATTCGCTTAAACCGAAGATGTAAGGTTCTCATATTTTATGTGATGATGTTGGTATACTTCAATTTTGTTGTTTCTTTTAAACTATGGAGTATGTTACAGATGTATGCTTTTGATAATAGGTAGAGTGGCTTCCTTGCAAAAGCATGGACAATACTGTGATTCCTATACAAATTAAGAGTAATCTGATGGTAGGGAGGTCAAGGACAATGCTGATTTGTTTTGACAAGGCTGAAAGACATCTCCCTAATCGTTGCCTAAGGCAATATGGCATGCCTCAGTCAATCCCGGAGGATGTACAAGACTGGAATAGAAAAAATCGTAGAGTTGACTTATCAGGGAAGATGCAAATAGAAATCAATGAATGGTCAAGGCGTAGGTTTTGTATAGTACAAGGTGATGTTGGTGCAGATGAGGGTGACTACATGAAGTGGTACCTAAAAATTACCCGTAAATTTGTAGAGCGGCCTCTACGTCTCTCAGTGGAATTTCAAAGAGCAGTAAGGCTGAGATAGTTTGTGTTTATCATGATTTAAGGAATGTTATTTGCTGCAACAGAAAAGCAAATAACGTATCAATTTGAGACAATATGTTTTGTTTTGAATGCTGCAGATTGCTGGCTTGAGAGAAATTACTCTTATAGCAGACTCATTCTCTACAGAAGGGTTGGATCCTCAACAAGTTGAGTTGGTTCGTCGGGTCGGGTGTACTGCACATGAATGTTTGAGGGAGCAAGTTGGAGATCCAGCCATTGTGGACTTCTGCCCACAAGTTGATGTTGGAAAAGGGATAAGAGGAAAGGAGATGGTTATCAGAAAGAGTACTGAAAGTCTTTTGCGGAAGGACGAGCTGATGCCATTGCCATATAATGTGGCTAGTAAGGATAGAAATTTTCATTTTTGTATCTTGTTTTATCTTTCAAAGTGAATTTAAAAAAAATAAAAAATAAAAATAAAAAAACCTTGTTAGCTAGTTTTATATTGAAATATTTGATGTAGTTATTGTTGTCATGAAGACCAATAAGAATGGGGTAACACTATAACATTTGGTTTAACAGGTAACGATGAGCAAGAAGAATCGCAAGACGAGGTACAAGTTGAAACTTATTCGAAATGCAACATCGAGCAAGATGACACTCAAAATTTACAAGATGGGATGGCAGTTGAAGTAGTTTGCACACCTAACGTTGAGCAAGAAGACATTCCGAATTTGCCTTTTGTGAAAAGCTCTCCAAT